AAAGGGTGAAATAAAATTTAAAAAATATCGTACGTTGTAATTAATATATATGGCGGTGCTGTTAACAGTGAATATTATAGCATGAATACAGATGTATCTTTTACTTTTTGGGTTCTCGTGTCGAGAACGGTTTTCATTAGCGGACTAATTTTCATTGCGTAGTGAAGACGCCGCGGGATTTATCGCAAAAGATAAAAGTAAATCACGTACAGCATTTATTATGAAATTCTAGTCCTACTTGTCACGCGTTGTGAATTATTATAACGTCGATGGTGAGTGGAATTATACTTTACAGTCGATAATTATTACGTCATTGTTTTACGGCGTGAACGCATTACCGGTTGCGTAGTGAAGACGCCGCGCGATCTCGTAAGTCCTACGCGCAGTGACTTTCGGCAGCTTAGGCCACAACAGTCATGCGTAACCTCGTATCTGTTCGCGTGTGATTAGCTCCCGGCAATCAGGTTTCGGAAGAAGACTGAGTTGCATTTATATTTTGTTCGCAGATGATACGTCTATAGTGTCATTTGTTTTAATCGATAATTATTGAGAGCCTTCGTATGTCTCGTGAATTTATTGTGATTGCGAGCTTGTGCTGAGAGGCGTCGTGACCGCGCTGAGCAGGCTCGTGCGTGTTGCGTCTTCACCGGCTTCTTCTTTCTACACCGTAGCTGCACTCGTCGAAGCTATTTTTCGCAGCGACGTTACAATATAATTAAGGTAAGAGAACCGCGAGAGAGCCAAGCACTTTTTATGAAATTCAGTGTGATCCCGAGTAGCACAAAATGGCGATTTTTGGAAAGCTTTGCAGTTAATACGTGCAAGATGGCGATTTCTTGAATGGTATACGTTTTTATAAATAATGTATAAAATCCCCTTCTGAACGGTAACATAAAAAAGTTGTCATTATGATCAACATTTGGAACACTTTTCGTCTACCAAATAGATAACTTTTTGCAAATCGCCATTTTGTGGTACTTCGGATCACAATTTATTCTCTATAGCTTTAATGACTTTGATTTTTTTAACAAAAAATTGACTCTTTTTAAATTAAGAAATGCGTGGCAGCAGTCAATTTTGTTTAATGCTGCACCTTTCATACAAACCTGTTCATTATGAGAGGAAAGTTCACTTAATTATACATGTAGTGGAATATCTAGCTGCCCTAATATGGTAATTGTACCAATTTTGTTGAATAGGATAAACATTTAATGTTTTAACTTTTCTTTGCAGTGTCTTGAAAGGACCGTCCTGAACTACATCGCTAGCGCTTCGTGACGATCTTAATGGTTGACAGTCAAGTCAGAGTGGTTTCTCTACCTTTTGGGTAGCCCTTCAGTAGCATTGAGACATTTCTTGGACGACAAGAGTAGTAAGGTAAGCATTTCTAAAAAATTAAAATATACAAAATAAATAATTAAATAAGGTTTGGAAAATGTAGATCACGTCTCAAATGTTAGTGTTCAAAGATTTTCTTATTTTTTTCGTTACTACACTCCGAATTTTCATTATCATTTATTTTTTTAAATTTTTATCGTGCTCTCCTTTAATTCATAAAACAAAAACGATGAGAATTAGTGGTCAATGATGGGTAGATCACCCCGAGCTAAAAAGAATTTTTACAATCGGGTACAAAATAAACTGAATCAATCGCTAAAAGGTGCAGCACCAATCACTACATCAATACAACGTGCCAAATCTATCACTGCAACATGCGGTCGGGATAATAATAGAAACGTTTATAATAATATAAGTAATGCCAATATAAAGGATAACAGTGACAAAGTCGTTACTCCTGTCAGCACTTATGGAGGTAAATCTTCCACAGATAACGTAGATAATGTAGATGAAGTAGATGATACTGACGTAGCAACTAGTTCTCCTGGCTCGGGAATATATGACGCATCTATAAATGAATCTCATCATAATGCCAGCGCGGAAAATAATATCGACCGAATAGATTCTCGTCAACTTATTGAGACTTTTGCTTCGAAATTAGCGAAATGGGCAGTAACGGAAAATATTCCACAATCCTCACTTGGGAAATTATTTCTGATCTTACGAGTCCAGCCAATATATCAAGAAGCTTTGCCGAAAGATCCAAGGACGCTTTTGAAGACTCCTGGTGCAAAATGTACCTAATTAATGGGCCTTGGTCTTTACTACTATTTCGGATTAGCAGAATCTTTAAATATTATCTGCAAAAAATATAATATAAAAGTCACTCAACATCAAGTCTTTTCACTTGCTATTAATATTGACGAATTGCCTATATCGAAGAGTACAAACACTTCCTTCTGGCCCATTTTATCTTCAGTGAAATCAGTCACATACCTAAAAGGTAAAGTTTTTCCAATAGCATTATATTGTGGAGATCAAAAACCAGACGCAAATGAGTTTCTATTTGTCTTCGTAACCGAGTACAAGGATCTTGCGACGAATGGACTTTTTATCGATTCCGTTAAATGCGATTTGAGAATATCTATGTTAATTTGCAATACCCCGGCCAAGTCATACATATTGTCAATAAAAGGTCACTCCGGTTTTTATTCGAGTACCAAATGTATGGAAGAAGGGGAAATGATAAATAACGTTCTTTGCTTTTTGGAAACCAAAAATTATACGCTCCGAACAGATGCGTCATTTCGTAATCTCACTTTCGTAATCTTACTTTGATCACAGACATACCGAATTTTAATATGATTGACAATGTGCCAATAGACTACATGCATAACTTGTTGTTAGGAGGAACAAAGATATTTTTGTGTAGTAAGCGATATGGTTGGATTTTTTGCAAGCCACGTTATATGTTGCGTGCACAAGATGTAAAGAAAATATTTGATAATTTAGTAAATTTTAAATTACGTATTTCAATTACGTAAATTTTCTATGATAATTATTATTGTAACACAGTAAATATTGTAGAGTACGTAACATTTTTATCAGGATGTCGCCGATTAGGGTACCTAATTGCATATTCTTGCGCTGTTTGTGTTTGGTTTCCATTACATTGGGCTAACACCCAATACATGTCGCAATATTCTCTCACAGAATAATTACTCATAATGCGAACTGACTGTGTCCACAATGTGAAGTGAAATAAGTTGTAATTTGTAAACAAGTCATTCGACCGCAGTAGATTCATTACTGTTTACAAATTACAATCTATTTCGCTTCATATTGCGGAGACAGTTAGTTCGATTTATGTTGTTTCGACTACAAGATCGCATTACGAGTGATTATTCTGTGAGAGAATATTGCGACATGTATTGGGTGTTAGCCCAATGTAATGGAAACCAAACACAAACAGCGCAAGAATATGCAATTAGGTACCCTAATCGGCGACATCCTGATAAAAATGTTACGTACTCTACAATATTTACTGTGTTACAATAATAATTATCATAGAAAATTTACGTAATTGAAATACGTAATTTAAAATTTACTAAATTATCAAATATTTTCTTTACATCTTGTGCACGCAACATATAACGTGGCTTGCAAAAAATGAATCTACTGCGGTCGAATGACTTGTTTACAAATTACAACTTATTTCACTTCACATTGTGGACACAGTCAGTTCGCATTATGAGTAATTATTCTGTGAGAGAATATTGCGACATGTATTGGGTGTTAGCCCAATGTAATGG